GAAGGACAAATTTTCTTTAGTGGCTGTACCCCGGGTTTAGTGATCTCAACTCTACCCTCTAAAGTGGGGCGGCCATCTGAGAGGAGGACACACTTCTGAGGGATCCTGAGCATTTCCAGTGCTCCACCCGCCCCCTGCAGACTGTGCGCTGAGCAGGACGCAGTTCTCGGGAACCATTTCCATCCAGGCTGCTGGGGGACAGGGCCAAAGGGATGCCCAAGCCTGGAAGGGAGAAAAGTTTCTCTCCAACGATGCGACAGCTAAAACGGGGCGTCTCCCCTCCTCGAGATCCCCTCGGAACTTCTGGCACCTAGTTCATTAGGGACAGCGAACTCTGCGCCCCGAGACTTATCGCAATTCGGATGCTCGTGCCCTGAGGCTCGCAGTTGCCGGGATGCATGAGAAAGAGGCCTGGACTTGGGCTGGGAAAGCGACCTTTTAAAACCAATGTCAGGGTGTACGGGGTTGCAGCCCGGAGCCCGGAGAAAAGTGAAAGGCGAGATGACATACACTGAATTGGGGCAAACATTGGCACCGGGGACAAAACTCCGCCCCTGGAGCACCAGGGAGAAAAACAAAACTGGTGTCCAGTAGAAATTGAAAACCTAGGAGCAAGGTGGGGGATGTTCCTCGCCCCTCCCCCTCAGTGCCCCTGTTAAGGGTTCTGATTCTTTGCCTAGATGATCTGTCCAATATTGAGAGTGGGGTGTTCAGGTCCCCTGCTATTATGGTATTAGTGTCTATCTCATCCTTTAGGTCTAATAGTGTTTGCTTTATAAATCTGGCTGCTATGACATTGGGCGTGCATATATTTCTGATTGTTATGTCTTCTTGATGGATAAATCCTTTTGTCACTGTATAGTGGCCTTCTTAATCTCCTTTTATGGTTTTTTGGTTTAACATCTATTTTATCTGATATAAGAATAGCTACTCCAGCTCGTTTTTCATTTCTATTTGCATGGTATATCTTTTTCCATCCTTTCACTCTTAGTCTATGTGAGTCTTTATAGGTGAGGTGGGTCTCTTGAAGGCAGCATATAGTTGGGTCCTCCTTTTTAATCCAATCAGCCAGTCTGTGTCTTATGATTGGGGAATTTAATCCTTTTACATTAAGAGTTGTTATTGAAAAGTGTTGATTTACTCCTAGCATTTTATTGATTTTTGTTTGGATGTCTTAAGTATCTTTTGTTACTTTCTTTCTGATTTACTGTTTGTCTTCTGTATTTGTTGGTTTCTTGGGGTGGTAGATAAACTTTTTTTTCTCTTTATTGTTAGCATTTTTATTTTACTAGTAGGTTTTGTTTTTTCTTGAGTTTTTACAGCAGTGGTGGCTGTTTTTCAGATACCAAACCCAGTACTCCCTTGAGAATTTCTTGTAAGGCTGGTTGTGTGGTAGTGAACTCCCACAGTTTTTGTTTGTCTGAGAAATATACTATTTGTCCTTCATTTCAGAAGGATAGCCTTGCCGGGTAAAGTATTCTTAGCTGGGAATTTTTGTCTTTTGGTATTTTGAATATATCATCCCATTCTTTTGTGGCTTTTAGGGTTTCTGATGAAAAGTCTGATGTTAGTCTGATTGGGGCTCCCTTATAAGTGACTTGACGTTTCTCTCTTGCAGCTTTTAAGATTCTCTCTTTTTCTTTGAATTTTGCCAATTCGACTGTAACATGTCTTGGAGAGGACCCTTTTTTGTGTTGAATGTGTTTGGGGATCTATGAACCTCCTGCATCTGAAGATCTGTGTCTTTCCCTATACTTGGGAAGTTTTCTGCCACTATTTTGTTGAATATGTTTTTGATGCCATTTCCTTTTTCCTCCCTTTCTGGAATACCCATGATTCAGATATTTGAGTGCTTAAGGTTGTCTGTCATCTCAGATTTTCTTCAATGTTTTTAATTCTTTTTACTTTTTATTTTTGTCTGCCTATGTTATTTCAAACAGCCCATCTTCAAGGTCTGAAATTCTCTCTTCTGCTTGTTCTAGTCTGCTGGGTAAACTCTCTGTTGTGTTTTTTATTTCATTGAATGAATTCTTCAGCTCCACAAGCTCTGCTACATTCTTTTTCAGGATCTTGGGGGTCTGCTAGAAGGGGGAGCTCTTGCTGTCAGCTTGGGCGCAGTTGCCTCCCCGACCCTTCCTCTCCAGGGCACGGTCGGTGTGAGAGGTGGAGGACAGCCGGGGCTGAGGGCGCGAGCGGAGGGTTGGGGGTCGGGAGGCTTTGTACCGCCAGGGGCTGGCGGAGGAAACGAGAGCCGGTGGGTGCTCATACGGCTGCGGACCGGTGCGCGGGCGCGAGATAGGACTGTGGTTTATTTATTTGTGTGTTTATTCGCCGGCCGGCTAGGAGCGGAGGAGCCGACGAGTGGATCTGGGGGCGGAGGTGGACAGGACTGGGACTCGTTTGGATTTTGTTTCTCTTTGAAAAAACGTGGTGAGCTCTTTTTTCTTGACTGGACTTGATCCCCCTTTTGGAGGGTGGGCACCAAGGAAGCTCCGGAGGGTCTCCAGCACTCCGGGCCCTCCTCGGCTCTCGGCGGGACCGGCCGTGGCGCCGGAGCTCGCCCTGCGCTCCCGGCAGCGCTCGGTGGGTGCCCCGGCTCTGCACCTGATGCGTTCGGGATGCCTTTCCCATCCTGGCGCGCCGGCGGCTCGCTCGCACAGCCTCTCGCACACTCCCGCACGCGCAGGAAATGCGCACCATCCCGCCGGCCCGCGGACCCCTGGAACGCACAGACGCGCTCCGCACCGACTCGCTCGTTGCCTCCCCGGGACGCCCGGAACGTGCCTGGGCCGGGCACACTGGCAGCTGGCGCCGCCGGCCCGAGGCCGGGGACCCTGCCCGTCGCTCCCGGGGGTCACGGCCCTGGGTCGGAGAGGGAGGGCCGGCAGACCCCTCTCGGCTTCCCTCCCACAACTCGCTGCGGGGCTTTTGTGCCTGCCCTCCGCCGCGGGGCGGTGCGCCTCCTAGCCGTTCTCGCCGCGGCGTCCAGCCCGCCCGGGCTCTCGCCTCCCGTCCCCGTGTCTTTCGCTTTCCTCTACTCTAGCTCGCTCCCTTTCTTTCGGGCGTCTGTCTCCCCGGGAAAAAGTTGCTTCCCCAAGTTTGCTGAAGTCGCCTCCACGTCTCTGTGGGGGTCTCTGGGAAACGGGGGCGTGTGGGAACGCGATCGATCCCCGGAGCTCGGGCGGATTAGCGCCGGCGTCCCCCCGCGCCGCCCGGCAGGACGCTGCAGCCAGCTGGGGCCGGATCGCGGGTGCCGAGCGGCGGGTGGGGGAGACGGCTGCCCAAGGGCACCCTGATTTCCCTCGGGACCCAGAGAGCTTGTTTTGGGAAGGGAATTCGGGTAGCCAAGTTTCCAGTCTTTTGGCTGCTAGTTCTCCGAAACCCCTATGTCTGCGGGAGAGCACAGGGTGGCGGGGCGCGGATGAATGGACGCCCTACCCTTGACGGCCTCGGTCTCCACCCCAGGGTGGGCGGCAAAAGTGTCTTGACCAGCCGTCTTGTTAACGCTTTCTGCGTGAGCTTTGTGGCTCCGAAGCCAATAGGGCTCCTTTTGGGGGAGGAGGCAAGCAGCGTTTGAAGAGTGAGGGTGAGACCTCTCTTTGCTCCCAGTTCATTCACTGCAATATTGGCCAAAGCAAGGAGGAGGCTGGGAGGGACCTGGGCCTGTGAGGTCTTTCCAACACTCCTTAAATGGGGTTCGGAGTCCCAGAGCCCTTTTATAGATTCCAAACAGGTTCTGGAAGAGGCCTTTGTCTCCCAGCCCTGTCTTGCTTTCATACTGGTTGTAACTCACACCATAGATGCTGGTGCCAATATCACTTCTAGCACCTCTGAGCCATGTCCAGCATCAATTGCTGCTCCTAGTCACAGGACTTGCTGACTCCTGGGAGCTTGTAGGACATACTTGGAGTTCACATACACAGCCTAGCATGAGCACTCCTGGCTGTAGGGGAGCATATTTCCTATGATCTCTTTCCGTACCTTCCTGACTCATCTTTCTTCATTTTTTTAGAGTCTCTTGTCCACTGGACACTTGTGGGCAGGAAGGTAAGTGTGGCATCTCATATAAGTGTGATCATGTATGTTAACACACACACATTCTCTCTGGCTGGTATGCGTGCGTGTGCGCGCGCACACACACGGAGTCCAGATTTTAGATAACATACACAATAACTTTGAGGCACCTGTGGGTGGAAGTGACCCAAGTTAGCTGTGTGAGTTAGGTGTGTGTGTGTGTGTGTGTGTGTGTGTGTGTGTGTGTGTGTGTGTGTGTATTTTCCTGGTACTGCCTAAGGAAGGGGTCAGGGCATGGGTCTGTCAGTCCTTTGTGGCCCTGAGAAGAGTGGAAGGGCAGAGGCCCAGGAAGGCACTAGCTGCTGGTGAGATGATGGGTTTGGGGGAGGAGAGCCGGTTGCCCAAAGATTTTTGTGGGCTGAGGCTGCAGGCTGCAGACTGCTAGTCCCATCTGGGTTTGACTGTGCTCCTGGGGCTACCACAGTAAGGCAGAGTTCAGAAAAACTTTGTTTTGAAGATGAGGTTTGCTGTACAGAAGGTGGAGAGTGAAGTTGAGTACTTAAGTTGACTAAAGGAAGGGGTTAATGTTTTGTTAATTTTAAGTAAGTGCTGGGCACCTCCACATAATGGAGGTTGGCTTTGCATAGGAACCCCCTACTCTCAGACTTAGAGCTCAGGACTCACAGGATTTTGTTGTAATTTTCATTTTACTTTATCCAATAGGTGTCATAGAGCAGTGAATTAGGCATATGCTGTGGCAGAAACTTCTCTTGACTCTGCTCATCCCTGAGCTTGTAAAGGCAGATTTGTAGATATCTAGGAAGCTCCTTCCATTAAAATCTCTAAGACCCTGTTGCTGGGGGCTTGGCAGGTTGGTGGGGCGGGCAGGCATATTGTAGTGTTTGAATTCTTACTTTTAGGGACACTAATGAATTTGCCTTTTGTTCTCTCATCTCTTTTGCTTCTTTCTCTCTTCTCTCCTCTAGTTCTCTTCATTGGCCCAGGAAGCCCACCTTGCTCTGACACGCACAGCCTGGGAGGAAAGAGAGCCTCATGCCTGAGCCGAGGGGTGCACCATGGATCTGACGAAGATGGGCATGATCCAGCTGCAGAACCCCAGCCACCCCACGGGGCTGCTGTGCAAAGCCAACCAGATGCGGCTGGCCGGGACTCTGTGCGACGTGGTCATCATGGTGGACAGCCAGGAGTTCCACGCCCACCGGACGGTGCTGGCCTGCACCAGCAAGATGTTTGAGATCCTCTTCCACCGCAACAGCCAGCACTATACTCTGGACTTCCTCTCGCCAAAGACCTTCCAGCAGATTCTGGAGTATGCATACACGGCCACGCTGCAAGCCAAGGCCGAGGACCTGGATGACCTGTTGTATGCGGCCGAGATCCTGGAGATCGAGTACCTGGAGGAGCAGTGCCTGAAGATTCTGGAGACCATCCAGGCCTCAGATGACAATGACACAGAGGCCACCATGGCTGACGGCGGGCCCGAAGAAGAAGAGGACCGCAAGGCTCGGTACCTCAAGAACATCTTCATCTCGAAGCATTCCAGCGAGGAAAGTGGGTATGCCAGTGTGGCTGGACAGAGCCTCCCTGGGCCCATGGTGGACCAGAGCCCTTCTGCCTCCGCCTCATTTGGTCTTTCAGCCATGAGTCCCACCAAGGCTGCAGTGGACAGTTTGATGACCATAGGACAGTCTCTCCTGCAGGGAACTCTTCAGCCACCTGCAGGGCCTGAGGAGCCAGCTCTGGCTGGGGGTGGGAGGCACCCAGGGGTGGCTGAGGTGAAGACAGAGATGATGCAGGTGGATGAGGCGCCTGGCCAGGACAGCCCTGGGGCAGCCGAGTCCAGCATCTCAGGAGGGATGGGGGACAAGGTGGAGGAAAGGGGCAAAGAAGGGCCTGGGACTCCGACTCGAAGCAGCGTCATCACCAGTGCTAGGGAGCTGCACTATGGGCGAGAGGAAAGTGCTGAGCAGCTGCCACCCCCAACTGAGGCTGGCCAGGGCCCCCTTGGCCGACCGGAGCCCTCAGCGCCCCCAGCTGAGAAACATCTGGGCATCTATTCTGTATTGCCCAACCACAAGGCTGATGCTGTATTGAGCATGCCATCTTCAGTGACCTCTGGCCTGCATGTGCAGCCTGCCCTGGCCGTCTCCATGGACTTCAGCACCTATGGGGGGCTGCTGCCCCAGGGCTTCATCCAGAGGGAGCTGTTCAGCAAGCTGGGGGAGCTGGCTGTGGGCATGAAGTCTGAGAGCCGAACCATCGGGGAGCAGTGCAGCGTGTGTGGGGTCGAGCTGCCAGACAACGAGGCTGTGGAGCAGCACAGGTAGGCCCATCCTGATGCTGGACGTCTGGCTCTGACACCCATCCTTCACACCATGGCTCCTTCCAAGTCAGGGGCCTGGCTCCCCTGTCTTCCTTGCTATTTGTTAAAAAACAAAAAACAACAAAGACAACCCAACCCAAACAAAATAACACTTCTACTGAAGTCCTGGGGTAGGAGGGCACATTTTTCAGAGTGTGATGAGGGGGCCTAGGGTCTTTCCAAAATATTGGGGAAGTCATGGGCCCAGCTTCATGCTAAGACCTTCTCTTTCTTTTTGCTTTTGGGATCCTATTTGTTTTTTCTGCTGTTTGGTCTATTCTCCTTTTCCTGGAGTAACTGACAAAGTGGAGGGAAGGAGAGGAGGAAATGGGATCAGGGTGAGGGTCTTCTGTAGCCTGGATCTGGCCAAGTTCCCAGGTTGCAGGTGTCCAGGTTCCCACCCAGTGGTTCCTGTGAAGGCAGACTGTCGCTGTCTGCAGCTCAGAGGGTGGGAGTGGCTGTATGCTGCTTAGGCCACAAGAGCAGCTGCAGGTTCCAAATGTCATTCCTTGTGAATGTTCTTCTTGCTGCTCCCTCTCCCTTCTCATTCTCTGTTCCTTCAAACCTATTTAGGAGCAGTTGATTTAAATTCAGAGGGGAAGGATGGATATGAGAGTCTTGGTTTTGCAGCCTGTAAAGTCTCATTCCTATCCCATCTCTGCTCACACTGAATTAAATGCCACTTCAGCTAGCATTGGCTTCCCTCTGGCTTCTGTTTCCTTCTCTGTGAAATAACCATTCATTCACCTCTTATGATATGCTTGGTTCGGTGCTAAGTGCTTTACCTGGAGTTGCCTTTTTATTACAACAGCCCTGTGAGGTAGGCAGTGTTTGTCTTTTGCATAGGAAGATACTAAGACTGACACATAAAGACACTTGTCCAGAGTCACGTGGACAGTAAGAGGCAGAGCTGGACTCAAATACAGGTCTTAACCCCTTTGGACTTTGCTGCCTCTTGGAGTCATTCAGTCTTGAAGAGGATCATGTCTACAGAACAGAGGGTTTTGAGGACTGCTCATCAGAAGCGAAGGAAATAACAGAGGGAAGGAGCCAGTAGTGAGTTTGGTTTTTTCCTTCTTCTGTCATGAACCTCATGCCTCTCATTTCACCCTCCAGTCCCTGGGCTGGGTAAATGGTGTCAATAAATCCAGTTTTCTGTGGTCATCCATGATCGCATTTCGCTGTACTCTCTCTGGCCCGCTGTTTTGCTGATCTTGGATGGATTCTCCACTTTTGCACCCCCCTCCCTCCAGTCCCATTCCTCTGTTGCTCAGGTATGGGGGATGTAAAGAGAGGGGGTGGGGGTGGGGTGGAAGCTTCTGGAAATCGATCTAATCACCCCTAGCCGGAACCTGCTCCGACACTGCCTAATCGGCAGCTCTGACACTTACCTGGTGGAAAGTGCCGCTGAGCAAAATGATGAAGCCAGGTTTTTTCCAGTGGGTGCGAAAGATAACCAACTGCCGCTAAGGTAAAACACACCTTCTTGATGCGTGTACCTCATAGAAATAGACCGAGGTAGTGTTTGTTTTTGCTCAAACTTTCCTAACAAGGAAACTCCCTCCCCAAACTTCACCAGATAGATTTATCATCTTCTCCGGATGTGAATTATTTCACCTATGTGCTCCGAGAAATGAGGTAGGATGGAAAGTAATTTTTTTGTGACTCACGTTGGGTTGGGTCTTGTTTGCTTTTCTTTACCCAAGAGGGCCACAAAAGATATTACTCTTCTGGGAGTTCCAAGTTCCCATTCGGTGGGACCCTCATTCCTCTAGGGAGAGATGGAGGGTTGGCCGTGTTATATTCTGAAGAGCCCGGGTGGTGGAATTAGCCACATCTAGTGGTGAGAGCTAGTGCTAGTTATTTAACCTTTTTGAGCCTTGTTTTACTCACTTCTTAAAATGGAGACTGTCAACAAGAGTTAGTGGTGGAGTAATGAAGTAAGAACCAGAAGTCCCTAGAGCTGTGACTGGCCCAGAGTCATTGCACAGGTGAAGAACTGACCCTTCTGTCCCCCACCTTGTTTGGGTCTCATCTCTGTATCATCCCCGTGGCTCTTGAGTTCCAGTGCGTAGTGTCCACAGCGCTACCTTCCACTGATGTTATGTTGGCTGTGAGGTGGCACTGAGGATGTCCTTGTCCTCGTGAGCTTGTGATGGTGAGGCGCTGGTGCTGGAATCCTCGGCGTCACACCGTGGGCTTCTGACAGGGAGTATGTGCTTTTGACTGAGGGTGGAAAGTCAGCTGCTGCAGCCCAATGAGCTGAGCTGGGGGCAGTGCCTTCTGTAGGAAGCTGCGGGGGTCTAAAGAAATCAAGAAGGGAAAAAATATTCCTGTGTGTGCTTGGCCCCTTAGTTCCCCGCTAGATGCACTTTGTGGAAGGCTTTTTCCTCTTCTTTACCCTCAAAGCTCCAGGATTAATGTGTTACTTCTCTGTTTTTTACTGTTCTCTGAGAAATGCTCTGGTGGAAGAAAAAGCATCACTATGACCAGTACAGACAAAAAGGCAAGACAAAAAAATCAGAGTGGGAGATTTTGATGCCCGGAATCTGTGAAATTGGCTGGAAATATAACAGTGATGATCATGATGAAATAGTCTACAGGGTTCATTTTATTTTTAAGCCAGTAGGCTAGAGAGTTGGTAAAGATTAAGTACCTAGCAGTTATCCTGGCTTTTCTTCTTGGGGGGCAAAAGAGAATGGAGAGGAAGTTAGGGCAGAGTATTAGGAAGTGAGGCAGGAAAGGGAGTTTTTTAGGGAATCACATCAATAGATTTCCCTATGACTTGATCCCAAGCTGAATAAAGCTTAGTGAAGTTGTGGGTTGTGGTCCCTGTAGTCAGTGGCAAGATGTAAAGGCAATGTCAGATGTGGTCATGGATTGATGGGAAGACCAGACAGAGGCACCATTTGGGTAAACCAAACGGGGCTTACTTACCTGAAAGAATGAGAAGGAAGTCAGAACAGAGAGATCTGATAGACCAGCAGCATTCTCCAGGCAGGTGAAAGACCAAGCTTTGGACCCCAGAATCTTCCTCAGTGGGTACTCACAACAGAGGACAATGTCTGAGGGCGGGAGGGTCATGTCAGGCTTCTGGAAGCCTGGACTCTCCTCCTCTAAGCTCAGTCTCTTTCTGTCGCTGAAAGGCTAGAGCAGTATGGCATGTAGGCTTGTCTGGGTATGGTCGAGGGGCCAGCTCCACTGGGCCAGGTGCTCCTTATCATCCTCAGAGTTATATACATATGTGATGAGATTACAGGGAACAGTATGGTTGATTTGAGTGTGAACATAGTCCTCCTTTATATCCTGCAGTCTTTCTAGGCTCATACTGGCTGGTTTTAATGTGTTTCTGAAGTAGAGTGGGGTCTGGTTCCCCAGGAACCTCTGGGTTTTATACAGACAAGCCCCTTAAGTCAGCTACAGTGTTTATCTTGCACAGACACAGTAGCACCTCTTGCCTGGTTCTTGAAGGGCTGCTCAGGAACCATAAGGAATGGTTTTAGCCTGCTCCCAGGACCCATGTGTGCAGCCCTTCCCGGAATCTTCTTAGGAATGCATGGGTTATATGGCTGAGATGTCAGAGTTCTGCCTGGCCCCTTGCCTGGTCATTCTCAGATGGCCAGCTGCTCTGTTTTCAGTGGCTGATCATGTAGAGGGCCAATAGCCGTTGACCTTGGTTTAGGCCACTTTTGGGAGGTTAGAGGTTGCCTGGAATTCTTGGCTCCCTTTCCTCATTCTTCCAGGTACCTCTGATGTCAAACCAAGTTCTGTTTGGAAGAGGTTATGCTATGGAATAATGAGAGCAACAGCAATAATGTTAATAGTGCCTTTTATCAGTTGTAGACTTCCTTCTTTGCAAAATACCTTTAATGACTTTATTTTTCTTAAGCTTGCAGCCTTTCCTTAGGGGGTATAGCTCTATTATCCCATATTTGTGATTATGAAGTCTGAAAAGCTCTGAAAGCTAAAAGGCTTTGTGTAAGTTTGCAGCAAAGTCATTTAGTGGCAAAACCTGATCTGAACTGATGTGAGGCTATATTTGTCTTGCTTACTTTGAATATTCATATGTTTTTCTGCAAAAATATTAATGTGTTTGATTACAGAGTGCTGCCCTAGACTCCACTTGGGCTGTTAAGCACTATAGGCACCAGAGTACCTTTCTAAAATCTGAACAGTCTGATTTCTGAAGCACCCAAGGGTTTTGGAATGGGGCTTATGAACTATTAATTGGCCTCAGTTGACAGATGAGAAAAATGAGATTTGAAGGAAGCAAGTGACTTGCTCATGGTCACACAGCTATAAATGGACAGAGCCAGGCACTCAGCTTGCCTTGTAATTCTCAGTCCTGCGTGCTCTGCTGCAGGCCATATAAGAACATGGGCATTGCTGTTCTGGACCAGACCCATCTGACCTAGTCTTTGGTTGCCAACACCATCCCTAAGATATCACTGTTGGAGGCCATGGGGCCATCTTCCTTGACGTCAATCCTAAAGGTCAGGTGTATACCAGCTTCTCTTAGTAGCTATTTATGGCTGCTCTGTCATTCACAGATTTGCCCAAATCCTTTTTGAATCCATTTCTATTTCCAGGAAGTATCCTTTTGGGGTGATGAATGACTTAAGTTTCTAATTTTCTGGGCTGCTGGAAATCTGGTCTCTTGGAGAGGTCGTTGGTTGTAGAGATAGGAAGATGGCAGAGGCTTTGCAGTGGTGTGTGCCTAGTTGTCATGGAGGCCGGGGCTCTAGACTTAGGTCTGAATTTTTTATCTCTGTCACTTGGAGAGGTCGTTGGTTGTAGAGATAGGAAGATGGCAGAGGCTTTGCAGTGGTGTGTGCCCAGTTGTCATGGAGGCCGGGGCTCTAGACTTAGGTCTGAATTTTTTATCTCTGTCACCCTTGTCAGTCTCTTTTTCATTCTGAGCTTTAATTTCTTCATTTGTAAAACTAGGCACGTGGATGAGC